ATTTCAGATTTAGTTTCAAAGATAAAGCTCTAATGACAAAAAAATCAAAATTAAATAGATGGTAAAAGGAAAGGAATAAAAGATTTGCTTTATGTTCACTTTATTTTTTAATGAAATCAGAGGAGAATAACATAAAATAGAGAAGCCTAAAGGGAAAGGGAAATTGAACTTGAAAAGTGGCTTTTGAAAGATGAAAACGAAGATCAAATTCCTGGAATATATGGGACTTGAGTCAGTCAGTCTACACATGCACACACACAAGTACATGCACACACAAACACACACACACACAAACTCCCCATACTGTTCCCCAGACTTATGCTTTGGAAGCTGGCTTAACAGTTTGCAGTTTTCAATATTCCAACAACAGTGGATTTGAGCATAAAATTTTGTAATAGCTACTGATTTTCTGAGGATAGTTCCACTTCAAACATGCTATAAAGATGCATATGTTTAGGGCACATGGCTTTCCTGAAGAAGTTCTGCCCAATCTTTTAGCAAAATAGTAGTGATATGAAGAGGAAATAAGGGTGGTTAAAATGTTGAAAGATATGGAAGGAGTTTTGATGATTGAAAATCATGTGTCACGTTAATTATAGAGTTCAGAAAATAGAGAGTTTCACATAAAAAGAATGACACAGCATCATGTGCTTCAGCTCTTATCTTGAAGCAATCATATCATTTATTACAATGCAGGGTGAGTGGTAAGGGGATAAATTGAATACAGCACAGGGTCAGCAGCTGTGTCAGATGAGAGCAAGGAATGCTGAGCATTAAAGATGCTCTTTCCTTGTCCTTCCTTAAAGCCAGAGAAACAGCACTAGTTTGTGGGGCATATGGCATCCTAGCATGTTTCTGCAGCAGTGAGCTGACCACTTAATAAATCAAAGAGACTGGGCAGGTGTGAGAATGCTGAGGGAGTGGGGAGAAAGACAGGGTAGGAGCAGAAGGGGAAGAGAGGGAAACAAAAGAAGAGAGAACTATGAATTAGTTTGAGAGAATGAGGGAGTTGGGAAGCAAAATACTGTAGAAGGGAAAAAACTTGGTAGGAAAAGATACACTGTTTCATTTGGAACAGAATATAAGGAGAATATTTTTATTTTCTCTGCCACCCCCACCACACACACCCAAGAGAGTGAGCAGGAATGGACAGAGCATGTCCAGAAAAAGAACATTCATACCTGACTGTGGAAGGCGGTGTTAGCTATGAAGATTCCATTTTAACTTTGCCCTCCACCATAAAGGACAAGATATCAGCTCTGGGAATACTCTGTCCCTGCCAAGCCAAATGCTTATCTTTAAAGATTGTCCTGTGCCATGATGAATGTTCTTTTACCCAGAGATATAAAGAACTAAAAGAACAGGGAAATTCTAGAGAATGGGGAAATTCCTAAGAAAAGAGAAGTGGGCGTTTCTGTATCAAGGCCAGGACTGAAAATAGCCACAGCCTGTTCAGTGTATAAAAGATCCGGAAAAAATGAACTTGCACTCTCAGTCTCTCTGGGAGCCCTCCCGAGTCTATCTCTGTGTCTTTCTTTTTCTTCATCCTCACTCCCCCATTCAGGTGCTGTTTGACAAGTGATGGCGGGCTCCGTCATGGGTGGTGCCCGAACAGGGACCTGAATACGGGGGACCAAAGTGAAGGACACCGTGGACTGTGAGCTCAGATAAGTAATTCAAGGGCGGTGAGTACACTAGGGAGTAATAAGATGGGCAAAGGTAATAGCCGAATGCTTTTTGTACATATGCTTAAAAATATGCTCCATGCTCGTGGAACAAAGGTAGGGCACCAGCAGTTATGTAACTTTTTAGAGTTTGTAGAAAAAGTTTGTCCTTGGTTTCCTGAAGAAGGCACAGTAGATTGAGAAGTATGGAATAAGGTGGGAAAGCAACTTCAGGACTATTATGATGGTCATGGACCCACTAAAGTCCCTATAGATACTTTTAGCTTATGGGCTTTAATTAGAGATAGTTTAGACCCTCAGCATGAGAGAGAGAGGGTTAAAGGGCCCTCCTCAAGTCCTTCCTTGGAGGAATCTGATAAGGCTGATGTTCCAGAGGCTGTCCCTCCTCCTCCAGCAGAAAGTGAAACTAAGCCATCACCCCCCCTCCTCCAGCCGGCCTGTGCTGAGGTGGAGCCCGCATTAAAAGGAAGCCCTTCCCCAGATGAGGGTCCCTTGGACCCGGGAGATGCTGATGATTTGGAAGAAGAGGCTGCTAGGTATAACAATGAGGATTCCCCCCCCCCCGTCGTAGCCGTGGCCAGAAAACCCAAAAAATTCAAAAGGTCAACAAATGAAGATATGACTGAAAAGATTTCTAGGTTGGAAAAGACATTGGAGTCTCTTTGCCAGCAGTGACAGACAGGCTTAAAGGTGGAAGAGAAAGACCAACAGACCCAGGGAGAGGGAGAAATGATTCCTAGTGTAGTTGCTGGTCTTGATCCCCCACCAGATTCAGGTCCAAAATTAAAATTAAAAACAACACCCCTGATATCCATGGTCAAACATCCCCCGGGACTCAGGCCCTTGTCTGTCAACTCCCAAACTCTGTTGCCATTGCAAGCTGCCTTGTTGCATGTGGCAGACCAGGGGGAAGACCCTCAGGGTTTTCATCTGGCTTGCCCTGTGTTCGAGGAAACCGATGCTCAGGGTAATATGGTCAGGGTGCATCAGCCTATCCCCTTCAAACAGTTAAAAGAATTAAAAATGGCATGTGCACAGTATGGTCCTACTGCACCTTTTCCTCAGGCCATGTTAGAATCGCTGAGTACAGATGCACTGCCTCCAGGCGATTGGAAACAGCTTGCTAAGGCATGCTTGTCTGGGGGAGATTTTCTTCTTTGGAAGTCTGAATTTTCTGAACAATGCCAAAAGACAGCTGAGATAAATCGAGCCAACAGAAATAATATTGATTATGATATGTTGGCAGGAGAGGGACAATACATAGATCTTGCCAATCAATTGATGTTCCCCGCCAGGGTCTATGCCCAAGTTAATACTGCTGTCAAACGAGCTTGGCATAAACTGCCTTCTACAGGAAGGCAAACAGAAGATTTGTCAAAAATTAGACAAGGATCTGACTAAACTTTTCAAGATTTTGTGGCTAGGCTAATGCAAAAGGCAGGTAGATTATTGGGGAATTCCGCTGCAGGGTTATTGCTGGTCAAACAACTAGCTTCTGAAAATGCCAATACCGCCTGTCAGGCCACCCTAAGACCATTTAGAAAAAAGCGCACCATTTCAGACTATATTAGAATGTGTGCTGACATTGGGCCTGCTTATACTCAGGGCCTTGCCATGGCAGCGGCTTTGCAAGGAAAAACCGTTAAAGAAGTGTTGTTCCAACAACAAAAGAAGAATCCCAAAGGCAGGGTTCTGGGTCTGCCAGGGAGCTGTTTTGGATGTGGTCAAATAGGCCATCAGGTGCAACAATGTCCCAATAAGACCCCTCCAGTTAATTCAAACAATGCAGAAAAAGGAAATGGGCCTGGATTGTGTCCCAGATGCAAAAGAGGCAATCATTGGGCTAATAAATGTAAATCCAAAAAAGATGCCATGGGAAATATTCTCCAGCAGGGAAACGGGAGAAGGGGCCTGCCCCAGGCCCGGTGACAATGTTATGGGGCACTTCAGACATTCGTTCCCCAGCAAGAAAATCTGTTCAGGATCACTTCAGAGCAACCGCAGGCAGTGCCAGACTGGACCTCAGTCCCTCCACCTTCACAGTATGAACCCCAGAGATGGGAATGCAAGCCCTTCCAACTGGGATATATGGGCCCCTGCCATCTGGGGCTGTAGGGCTACTGTTGGGATGAAGTAGTGCTACTATGAAGAGTATTCTGATTGCTCCAGGGCTAATAGATGGGGATTTTAGTGGAGAAATCAAAATCATGACCCACTTGCCTACCGGGATTTCTGTGATACAAGCAGGGCAACGTATAGCACAGTTGCTGCTGCTTCCGCAGATACCAACAAAAAATCCAGCAATAAGGAAAAAAAGAGGAGATGCTGGATTCAGCTCTTCCGATGCTTATTGGGTACAGCCCATAGGAGCCCATTGGCCTGAGCTCACCTTGACCATTAATGGAAAAAATTTTCAGGGCTTGTTAGATACTGGAGCTGATGTTTCCATTCTAACTGCCGATCAATGGCCCATGGCATGGCCTAAACAATCAACCATGACCCAGTTACAGGGAATAGGTCAAAGCCAAAGTGCTGAACAGAGTAGTGATGTGTTGTTTTGGAAAGATGCTGAAGGTCATCAGGGTAGATTCCAACCGTACATTGTGCCGGGGCTGCCAGTTAATCTGTGGGGCCGAGATGTTATGAAAGAAATGGGGGCATATTTGTATAGTCCTAGTGAACAGGTCAACCACCAAATGTTTGAGCAAGGACTCTTACCTAATCAAGGCTTGGGAATTACAGGTCAAGGAATACAAAAACCTTTAATGCTGAGCCAACGGCCTTCAAAAACAGGTTTAGGGTATTTTTAAAAGAGGCCACCGGTCAGCCTGTACTCCATGCGGATCTCATCACTTGGGAAAGTGAGGAAACCGTGTGGGTGAATCAGTGGCCTCTCTCTGGAGAAAAAATTATAGCTGCTGAGCAGTTAGTACAGGAACAGCTTGATAGCAGACATATAGCTCCTTCTAATTCTCCTTGGAACTCTCCTATCTTCGTAATTAAGAAAAAATCAGGAAAATGGAGATTATTACAAGATCTCAGAAAAGTCAATCAAACTATGGAAGTGATGGGAGCCTTGCAACCAGGGCTGCCTATACCTTCAGCTATACCTAGAAATACCTATAAAATCATTGTAGATTTAAAAGATTGTTTTTATACTATACTGCTTGCCCCTGAAGATTGTAAAAGATTTGCTTTTAGTGTACCTTCAACAAATTTTAGAGAGCCTATGAAAAGATACCATTGGAAGGTACTGCCTCAGGGTATGGCTAATAGTCCTACTTTATCCCAAAAATTTGTAGCTCGAGCAATAAATATGGTTAGGCAAACATATCCCCAAATCTATATTGTTCATTATATGGATGATATACTTTTAGCCCATAAACAAGAAAGCTTCTTATTAATAGCCTATGCTCATTTACAACAAGCTTTGAAGGACCACGGATTGATGATTGCACCGGAAAAGGTTCAGACTGAGCCACCATATTCCTATTTAGGACATAAGTTATATCCCAAATCTATATTACCTCAAAAAGTTTGAATTAGAAAAGACAATTTACATACATTAAATGCTTTTCAAAAATTGCTAGGAGATATTAATTTGCTTAGACCATATTTACATGTTCCCACTGGAGAATTGAAGGCTCTATTTTATATTCTTAAGGGGGATTCTGATCCCACATCAGTTAGACAATTGCCCAATGAGGGCCTAATGGCCTTGTCAAAAATAGAACAAGCAATAGAATGACAACAAGTCCAATATATAGATTATACACGAGGGTGGGCTGCATATGTTTTGGCAACAACACATACCCCCACTGCCGTCTTATGGCAAGATGGTCCCTTGCTTTGCTTACATTCGCCTGTTTCTCCAGCCAGAGTGTTGACTCCCTATCATGAATCTGTGGCATGCCTAGTTCATATGGCACGGGAAGAATCTCAAAAATATTTTGGAGCGGAGCCTTCCTTAATTGGAGTCCCGTTTACCAAACAGCAGCTAGATTGGCTATTCCAAAATGTAGATATGTGGGCCATTGTTTTTGTACATTACCCTGGTTGTATAGATAATCATATCCCCATGGATAAATTATTGCAATTTGTCAATGTTCATGCTTTAGTGTTTCCCCAAATTATAAAACAAAAACCCATAAAAAATGCTCAGTTAGTTTTCACTGATGGGTCTTCCAATGGTGTTGCGTCATATGTTATTCAAGGAAAGCCAGAAAGTGTTTATACCACCCCTGCCTCCGCTCAGATTGCTGAGCTTCGTACCGTCGCTATGGTATTTAAACTTTTGGCCCATTATTCTTTCAATTTTGATACAGACAGTCATTATATTGTTAAAGCTTTACAGGTGCTTGAAACAGTTGCTTATATTTATGCTGCCAATAATCAAATACAGGAGCTCTTTGCTCAGATACAACGGTGCATACATGCCCGGACCTGTCCTTGTTATGTGGGTCACATTAGGGCTCATTCTGGGCTTCCTGGACCCCTGGCAAAGGGAAATGATCTTGCAGATCAGGCTACACGGCTGATAGCTTTCAGTCAATTGGAATTAGCTCAGCAGTCTCATGCTCTACATCATCAAAATAGTCACAGCTTAAAAAAAACAACTCCATATAACTTGAGAAGCCGCTCAACAAATAGTTAAGCAATGTTCTGCCTGTCCTATACATCATTCTGTCCCTCATTATGGGGTAAATCCCCGAGGCCTTAAACCCAATCAGTTATGGCAAATGAATGTTACCCATATTGCCGAATTTGGAAAACAAAAGTATGTACATGTAAGTATTGACACCTTTTTGAGATTTATCATGGCCACTGCTCAAACTGGAGGAGCCACAAAACATGTAGTAGCCCATTGCTTAACATGCTTTGCCACAATTGGGGTCCCTATTGTTCTCAAAATTGATAATGGTACAGGATATACCAGTAAAGTTTTTCAAATCTTTTGTACGCAAATGGGTATCACCCATAAGACAGGTATTCCTTATAACCCACAAGGCCAAGGGATTGTAGAAAGAGCCCATGGTGCTCTAAAAAATCAATTACACAAAATAAAAAAGGGGGAGTTATACCCTTTATCCCCACAGAATTATTTACATCATGCTCTCTTCATCTTGAACTTTCTGATTGTGGATGCTCATGGAATGACCGCAGCAGAATGGCTGTGGCATCCTAAAACTAAATCATCATATGCTCAAGTGAGGTGGAAAGATCCCCTCACGGGTGTATGGAGTGGCCCTGACCCGGTATTGACATGGGGACAAGGGCATGTTTGTGTTTTCCTGCAGGACGCTGAAGGTGCCAGGTGGCTGCCTGAAAGATTGGTCCATTTTGTGGGAAATTCTCCTGCCCTCAGGATGATCCCGACAACTGTCCTGCTGATAAATATGATGATGATGCTTAATGGGGAAGTTTATTGGACTTATGTACCTGATCCACCTGTTGTGCATCCAATGAGCTGGAAAAGTGGAGAAGTAATGGTATGGGTGAACAATACCAGGCTGTTGGATGAGCCGGCGGCCCCTGACAAGAACAAGGCCTGATAGGTTAAACTATATGGGATCAGGAACTGGAACCCCCATATGTTTTTCCAAAAGCAACAAGACTGGTTGTATAAGACTGAGTGCTCACACCCTGACAGGAAAGCAGGTAGATCAATGCAAAGGCAGGATCACCGGAGTCCGTCTACATCTACCTGTGGGTATGGAGACCACTGGTGTAGTGCCTCAGACTTTTCCACCTTGTGGGAGGAGAGAATGCTCCAATAAGACTATTCCATGGAAGAGATGTGCGGCGGATGCCCCTGTGAGATATAATATTACTGGATTTGATACTTATGTTTTGGATTGGTCTGAATCTCGGGATCATGCCTCTACTCCAATGTATAATTCTCCCTGTCCTAGTCCCCCATCATTCAGTGAAATGGTGTTTTCTGCAGGGTTATGGTGGAGTGACAAAGGATATGCTCAAACATATATTTGGAAATTGGCTGCAGCTTTGGATGAGGTTAAGGCCCAACCCGAAAATTCTCATCATCCCAAAGGAAATGTCACTGCATGTGTTATGTGCTCTTATGTGTTGCTCAAAGGAAATGTTACTATTGTAAAGGGTAATGATTATTATAATGTTACTTGCATTAATTGTCAAATAAGAAATTGTATCACCCGGACAGAAAATCAGGTGATGGTTTTGCAGCAGCCAGCATTTGTTATGATGCCAGTTAATGTTATGGAGGCATGGTATGCAGATCAGGGATTACAGGTGTTTGAAGAAATTAATAAGGCTCTAAGTAGACAAAAAAAGAGTAGTAGGGTTAATTATTGCTGGAGTAATTGCACTTATATCCCTTATAGCCACTGCCGTTACCACCGCCATTGCCCTCTCTCAATCTATACTAAATGCACATTATGTTAATGAGCTGTCAAAAAATGTTACTATGGCATTAAAAACACAGGAGGATATAGATCTTAGAACAAAAGTTAGATGCCTTATATTCTATTGTTACTTATTTCGGGAATGAAATACAAGGACTTAAAATTAGAAGTAGGCTGAAATGTCATGCTGATTATCAATGGATTTGTGTTACTAGTAAAATATATAATGATACAGGTTATGAGTGGGATAGGATTAGGAAACATCTGCAAGGGGTCTGGCACAGTGCGAATGTGTCCTTGGATTTAATACAGCTTCATAAGGAAATTATGGATCTCCAAAATGTATAGCTCCTAAAATTTGATGCAGCCCAGGCTGCACAGGATTTTATTGAACAAATTAGAAAAGTTCTGCCATCTGCATCTTCATTTACATGGCTACTCATTTCTGTAGTAATCATTGGAGGAGGGTTACTTCTTGGATGCATGATCCTTCCAGTGCTACTGCGGGTGTTTGTGCATTCTTTAATGAGGACGGCTGGAAGTATCCATGGTCTACAATTATATGCTGCACCGCCTAGGCCCATGGTGTAATCCCCTGCAGAGGCTGGTAGTCAATGACGGGTAAGAGAAGTACAGGAAATCACCAACCTAAGACAGAGAAAGAGTACTGTGACACTCTTGACTCCATGACGGGTAAGGGATTTCTTTGTATTCCTCGCCTAAGACATGCACAGTCTATCTGCATGATCAAGGGAACTTGACATATAAAAAAGGGGGAGATGTGGAAGGCAGTGTTAGCTATGAAGATTCCATTTTAACTTTGCCCTCCACCGTAAAGGACAAGATATACTCTGTCCCTGCCAAGCCAAATGCTTATCTTTAAAGATTGTCCTGTTCCATGATGAATGTTCTTTTACCCAGAGATATAAAGAACTAAAAGAACAGGGAAATTCTAGAGAATTGGTAAATTCCTAAGAAAAGAGAAGTGGGCGTTTCTGTGTCAAGGCCAGGACTAAAAATAGCCACAGCCTATTCAGTGTATAAAAGATCCAGAAAAAATAAACTTGTGCTCTCAGTCTCTCTGGGAGCCCTCCTGACTCTATCTCTGTGTCTTTCTTTTTCTTCATCCTCACTCCCCCATTCAGGTGCTGTTTGACAAGTGACGGCAGGCTCTGTCACCTGATGTTCATAGAAATCATGCATTGCAGTGCAGGTGATTTTCTGAGCAGTAAATTAATGACTTTGGGGGACAGCGAAGGGGAGTGTGGCTCCTGCCCTGTGTCTCTGGCAGCTCCTTTGTCCAGGAATGGCAGGCCCTTTAAGCACAAATAAGCCAAACATGCAGGACTATCCCCAGGAAGATTCACAGCAGCTGTGCAACTGGCTTCCTCTGATCCCAGGCCCTGGAGAGCAGATGGGCACTCAGGGTTGCAGGCTACTCCTACATTCTTTCTTCCAGTGAGACCCAGAGGAGAGCTCTGCGGTTCCTTAGAATAAACCTCAAGCAGCCCTCTCTCCCTATGCCCTGTGCCTGGGACTGGAATCCATGTGTTCACGATGCAGCACCTAAAAGGTTGCATCCACATGACCTTTGAGTGTAGCAATCTCAGCTCAATTTCAGCTGGGAGGGACCCTAAGAGACACATCACTGTGACTTAGGGTCTCCCAATGGATTTAGTTGAAGTCCTTGGACCAACACTTCCTAGGACATTGATTCTCCCCAGGATTTCAGTCAGCCTCGGTAAGCACAGCTTCCCTTCATGTTGGCACTGTGTCCCAGATGCCTGTGTAGGTATTTCCCCTGAGAAATGCAGGCCCAACTTCCATGGTGCCCTTTTGGGTGTGAGAAACTCCCTCACTAGCTCCCCAAGAATCCTGGCTCCACTTGGGTGGAAGCTACATTCAATGGACACTCAGCATGGGCTTCTCCAGCTCTGGGATAAGATGGTGTTTATTTTTAGAGCCCGATCCTATAATGTTCTCCTTATATTCTAGTAACAAACCCACAAAGCCCCCCCTCACTGCTCATAATTTTGCTTCAAGTTATTGAAGATACCATGGATCATGCACTCTCCACATTGCCTGTTTCTAGAACCCTCTTGTTGAAACCTCTCATTTGTCATGGTGTTGATGCTCAGTTACACTTTCTTCCTTTTCTTTCCCTGGTAACCTTGTGGTGTTTCTTATAAACCTTGTGCAGTTAGGGACCCGCAGATCATCATCACAGGAACTTCAGCAACAGTTTACCAGTTTCCTACAAACCTGCAGGGATTTGAATGGGGCAGACCCAGGTCCATGTACACCACATTTCCACAGCAATGTTGCACATGGAGCAATGAAGATGGCACATTTGTCCATCTTTAAGTCTTTAAGAAATTGTGTCAGCAATGTTTTATAGTTTCCATATTTTTGATAAATTCATAATGAAATATATCAATTTTTATCCAAATCTGTATTAATCTCTCCAGCTGTGAGAATGAAACACCATAGACTGGGAAGTTTTCACAACTGAAACTCAATTCCTTACAATTCTGGAACAAGATGACCAGGATCAAGGTGTGAGCAGGGTTAGGGCTCCAGTGCATTCAGTCCCCAGCTGTGCTGGCCCATCTTGGTGCTTCTCCCCATGGTCATTTGCATGGGTGCAGGTGTGTGCCTGCATGTGCATGCATGTTTAGGTGGGTGTGTGCATCCTCGTGTGTGTTTGTGTATGTGTGTGTGCATGACCATTGGTCTCTCTACCTGTTGTGACCACCTGGCCATATGGGGCACCAGTAAGCCTGGCTGACAGCCACCCCATCTTTACTGAGTTACCTCATTACAAGGACTGGCTCCAACCACAGTACCATCACATGAGATGCCAATGATGAGAATCTCAATATTTGGATGAGTTGAACCCAGAAGATAATATAAATGATATTGTTATGCATTTCATTTCCATTTATTTTTCATACCCATACAAAACCATATTTTGTCATGCAGCATTTTAAACCAATACACTAGCTCTCATAGGTGTTTTTCAGACTTTTAAAATGTTTAAAAAATTTTAAGGGCCTGGATGTCAGAGATCAGTGGAAAATGCTTGTCTACTGTGCATGAGCCCCAGGTTTGACACCCACCAGCTTAAAGAAATGATTGAGTGAATTTATTTTAATGTATATATATATATATTTTTTTCTTTTTCTTACAAATTTACTTCATCCACTATGCCTCTTTGTTCTTCCATTCTTTAATTAATGAGGGCTAAAAATAGAGGGTAAGACAATAATTCTTTTTTTCTTTAGATCTATAGCATAAAGCATTCTGGTATTCAACATCAAGGATAATACTAGCTCTAGGATTTTGGCGAATTACTGGGCTGGTTGATTTTAGTTTTCTTCCTGCATTCTTTAATAATTCCTTTTGAGTTTTAGTTAACAGAGATCTTATATATTATGATGAGGGGAAATCTGGTTGCAGTAGAGCAAAGAAGGAAGCTTGCAAATCATTTACGCTATGAAGAAAAAATCAATTGTCACAGAGAGGAGCAAGGAAGCCTGGAAAGAACCTTCCATGGAAGTGTACGCTGGGGAAGCAGGCTAGTGGAATAGGAGGAGGCTTTGGTGTTTGGAGAGCTTGCGAAGGAGGAAGTGCTCTACAATCTAATTCTTTTTTCAGGTTTCTTGCTTTTATGTTTTTAGTTGTTTTATTTCATTTTCCTTGTTTTAATAGATATCTTTTTTTAGTTAAACAAGTTGCTCTCACTAGCAGATTACTGAAGACTTTTTTCAAATGTTTGTTGAATCTTCCAAGTTTGTTTTCTATGTCAGAGGTAATGGCATGCATTTGCTTTTCATCTTTAGCTTCTTTGTAAGAAGACTGGTTGTTAAATCTTGGAAATCATAGCTAAAATCTGATCACTTGGAACAGAAGTAAAAGAAAGAATTAATGGCTAGGGCCTGAAATCTGATGAATTTCTGCATGCAGTCTGGATGGGGATAGGGAAACACTCAGAGGGCTGCAAAAGGAGAAACACCTGGAACAGTCATGGGGCAGAACACCAGAAAAATAGCTGCTACAGTTCTATAAGGTAAGGGTAAGACTCAAGGGAAAAAATGCTCTTGGGTTTGCCAGAAGAGTAGAAAATTAAAAATGATGAATTCTTTCCAGCTTTTTCTCCTAACCACAAAACTTCTCTTTGAGGAAAAGAGCACTGGAGAGGTATCACATTTGTAGAGGGCTGTTCCCACTCCAGTCTTGCCTAGCACTGCTGCCCACCTAGGGGGAAAGGAGCCATTCCATGGGAGATGCAGCAGGGAGGGTCTCACCAGACAGCCATGTCAGAGGACAGAGTGGAATGGGTGGAAAGAGCATAAGCTCACATTCTCCCTGTCCCCACAGGGCTGCAGGAAAAGATAGTGAGCTGTGACAGGCCAGGTACAGACACAGCTCTCAGTCACTAGGAGACAGGAGGCCAGGAGCGGAAACACAAACAAGGATTTACTGGGATCAGAGGCCTCAGATGCTTGTATCTCCTGCAAATAATAAGCATAGATACTTTCCTGTACAGATTAGCATCAGGCTTCACACCCGGTGCATACCAATCTCATATTCTGTTACCTAATGTCACAGGTCTAGTGATAAATAAAAATGTACCATCAGATCGAGAAATGGACACAATCTCCAGGGCCAGTTAAGGTTCTACAGCAGACTCCATCGTGGCATAGATATTGGAGCTGCCAGAAAGTTAATTTAAAAGAACTAAAGTTAATACATTAACTGTTGCATAAGGAATAGTACACAACAAGCAGCAATAGGTAAGCAATTTTAAGAAGAGATGGTAACTTTGAGAATTCAAAGAAACAGAAATCTCTGACAATCTAAACGTTATTTAAGATGAATAGGGAAAATAAATAGCTCAGTGGATCAGGAGTAGGAGGGAGGGTAAATACAGGAGCACATGGAATGTTAGGGCAGGGAAACTTCTCTGTTATTTTCTAATCATGAATACAGGACATCAAGGATTTGTCAATAGTGAAAATGGCCATACTTCCAAAACTATTATATAGGTTTAATGCAATGCTGATTGAAATTCTAACAATATATTTCACAGAACTAGAGAAAACAATAAAAAAAAATACATTTAGCCAGAAGAGACCTAGAATAGTAAAAGCAATTTTAGGCAACAGAGATATGGCTGGGGGTATTACAATCCCCAACTTGAAACTATATTACAAAGCTACTGTGATAAAAACAGCATGGTACTGGCAAAGAAACAGACCCAAGGATCAGTGGAATAGATTAGAAGATGCAGAAATGACTACAGATATGTTCAGACACCTCATTTTTGACAAAGGAGCCAACTGTTCCCATTGGAGGAAAGATAGCCTATTTTATAAATGGTGTTGGAAAAACTGGATTTCTACCTGCCAAACATTAAAAGGAAACCCATATTTATCACCATACACTAAATTATGATTGAAGTGGATTAAAGATTTAAATATTAAGACAGAAACACTAAATTTTCTGGAAGATAAGTTAGGTAGAACTCTGGAAGATGTTTGTATAGGAAAAGATTTTATGAACAAAACCTCAGTGCCACGGGAACTTGCACAAAGAATCAACAACTGGGATCTTATCTTATTAAAAAGCTTCTGCACTGCAAGAGAAACCACTGACAGAGCTGACAGACAACTATATTATGGGAAAAAAATTTTAGCAGCTGTACCTCAGACAAAGGACTACTATCTGGGTATTTTCCCAAAAGAATTAAAGGAATCATACCACAGCAATATATGTGCACCCATGTTCATAG